TATCTATATATATATATATATATACATACACACACATATATTGGTTAGCTCAACACCAGCACAGAGGATCCCTTTTTCAGAAAAACCAGACACATATAAAAGTTCATATTTACAAAACACAAGGTGCAATTTACAAAATTATTCATCTTATATGTTACTAAAGGATTTTTTACTTTACCATAGTAGTCACCACAGGGGTTCTTCATACAAGTTTTTCTTTTGTAACTGCTGTTGTGTACTGATGGACTGGAGACTCCATCCTTCTCACCTGAGGAATGGGGGGCGGGGGTATCTGCACTGCACACAAGCAGAGTACATGCTGTTTTCCCAACAGGATTTTCAGTGGTTTGCCTTCCTGGCTAAGTGGTGTGCCTTGAATCTAGATGTTCCCCTAAAGCCTCATGTGCTCATAGGTAGAGTGGGTGGATCTAAGGTGTGTGAATGTGGATTAAAGTTGTGATAAATTAGTTCACTGATTGGATTATCATAGATCTGGGTGTGGATAATGGGAAGGCCCACTCTGGTTGTGGGTGGTGCCAATCAATAAGCCTATAGCCTGGATGGAATATAAGAGGAAAAGATGTAAAGCAGGCTCACTGCTTGCTGGCGGCTGCTTCCTGCCTGCCGCACCATGGTCTGTTTTGGTTTTTTTGGGGTTTTTTTTTTGGTATTCCTCTCTGCCATGACACCCTGCCTTGGAGCCAGCCAACTGTGAATTAAAACCTCTATAAACTGTGAGCCAGATAAACCTTTTTTCCTTTGACTTTGGGTTTCAGGTATTTTTTCTTAGCAACAAAAACAATAACTAAGACAATGTAGTAGAAATTTTGAAATTCAGCATGAAGGAAGAAAATAAGGTGCAATATAAAGTCCTAGTGTCTAAATTCATTTAACTTCTAATGCTAACAATTCGAGTGACCTTGAACAAGTCATTTAACTTCTGCAGGCCTCAGTTTTGTCATTTGTTGAAGAAGTTAACCAAATTCAATGAATTTAAAGATAACCTAGCGATATCATTCTGTGGTACTTTATTTACAAGGATTATTTAAAAAAAATAATATAATAATATAACATCATAATATAAGTGGGAAAATGTGTCAGTCAATGTAGTCTAACTGCTGTAACAAATAACCCCAAATCTCAATGGTTTAATAAATTAAAAGTTTGTTCATGTCACAGTCCAGTGGCTGACAGGTGGGGCTGGTGCTGGTGGTAATTATGGGGTATATGTGTCTAATGTGGAGATTTTACTGCCACAGTTAATTCAGGGACAGAGGCTTCTTCCATTAGTCCCCATATTATTCTACCATCACCTAGTACCTCTGCAAGATCACACTGAGCACAGTGAGAAAGAGTGCAGAGGACGTTGGAGCTGAAGATTGTTTTAGGGCCCAGATCTGGGATATATCAATTGTCCACTAGCCAGAATTTTGTCACATGTTTCTACCTAACTACAAATGGAGCATAATCTAGTTACGTGCTCTAGTAAAAGGAAGAATAATTTGGTGAACACATAGTGGCCTCTGACACAGTTTATCCTTCTGATTACCCATATTGGGTTCACTGTTCCTCCAACAGGTAGACTATAGCTCAGTGGTACCTCGGTTCACAAACTTAATTCTCCATGGAAAGAATTAAATTTATGAACAGAACTACCACTGTACTTTATTTTTAAAGGAAGTAGCCCAAGGTCCTGGCCAACTCAAATCTACAATGTCCAAGTCAGGCTCAGTCTTTTCTATCAGGTTTGGCCATGGCACTTTTATGATCTGGGGACCTGTGAACTAAAAAAAATTGTATATGAGCCCCCACCTCTACATAATGGTGAAGCAGAAATTTGATGGCCTTAATAAAATTTCCCATGTGTAAAGGGGAAGAACAGGAATCATAGCAATCATCCGGCCATAGTAGTTCTAGAAAGCCAATGAAGAGACACTGCCACGAACTGGTTGTCTGAGGTTGAGTGTTCTCCAAGGGCCCATTGTAATTAAAGACTGGAGGGGGGTGTTGGGAGGTAGTGGAACCTTTGGGAGACAGGGCCTATTGTTAGGTCCCTAGGTCATTAGGGGTACGAGGTATTTCTTATGTGATCCCTTTAGTAGTTTTCACAAGAGGGTTGTTATGCAAAGAGAAAGCCTGGCCCATCTTCTTTCTTTCTGCTTAGCATGGCATGTGACCACTTGCTCCAACACAAACTCTGGCCATTGTCATCACCATTCATCAGGAGGTCCTTGCCGGAGCTGAGCTGATGCAGGCACCATGCCTTTGAACCTCTGAGCACTATGAGCTAAATAAACCTCTTCTTCTTCATAAGTAGCTTGAGTCAAGTATTTTGTTATAGTGGTGAAAATCTGAATAATACAATCATTGTTTCAGTTTTCTATTGCTGTATAACAAATTACTATGGACTTAGTGGCCTAAAACAATACTCATATATTATCTTACAGTTCCTGTGGGTCAGAAGTATGGGTGGGCTCTGCTAGGTCTTCATTGGTTCTCACCAGACAGAAATCAAAGTGTGACCTGGGCTGGGCTCTTACCTGAGGCTCTCAGAAGGAATTTGCTTCCAGACTCATTCACACTGCTGGAAGAATTCATTTATTTGAGGCTGTAGAAATGAGGTTCCTGTTTCCCTCCATTTTCAAAGCAGCATAACCTACTGAGTCCTCCTCATACTCCACTGTCTGACTTCTACTTCTACCATTAACCAGAGCAAGCTCTCTGCATTTAAAGACTCATGAGACTATTTGGGCCCACTTGGATAATCTCCCTATCTTAAGATCAACTGTACCATCTAGTGTGACATAAAAGTAGAAGTTCTATCTCGTATTCAAAGGCTCCATTGTTTACTTATTTATTTTTAATTTTTTGATACTCGGATCAAACTCAAAACCTTGTGCTTGCAAGGCAGGTGACAGCACCACTGAGCTAAATCCCTAGCCTAAAGGCTCCACTGGTTGGAATAATACATCTTTGGAGAGTCACTTCAGAAATTCTACCTATCAGAATCACCTGACCTTGATCAGATTTTGATTCTGCTTCTGGGAGAAGTTCCCATTCTCACTATTCTCTGTTGCCCTTGCCTTCGCTCTGGAAGACTTTTCATTATACATAATCTTTCTTGGACACGTGAGAAGACATTGAAGAGTATGCCCTCCTCATAGAAAGGAAAGTTTTTTAGTCTACTTCCTGCTGGTTTAAGTTGAGAATCCAAAAAATTGTTTTATAACTGGAGCAACAACTGAAGGAGTTTTTAATCCTGGCTTGTGTTGCTTTGTAAATGTGATTCCCTTACAAGCTTAGTTTTCTGATCAATTTGCTTCCATGTGCCAGTAATCATATGCTTTTTCTGCCCTAGGTGCACTTCTCTCTCTCTCTCTCTCTCTCTCTCCCTCTCTCTCTCTCTCTCTCTCTCTCTCATCTCTCCCTCTCTCAAAAAAATCCATTTAGAACCACAAATGGAAGGGTCACATCCTGAATCTATTCTTTGCCATAAGGTTGAGTTGATCTGTTCAAATGAGAAATTTTATCAGTCTTTCTCCTCTCAAACCTTTTATTAGTGTCTTTGGGATTTAGAAACAGTCTAATTGTGTAATCCTTCAAAGTTCTGAATTCTCTATATTATTTTTCATGTTTCTTCCAAATGGTCGATTCATCCTTAAGTGCTTCTTTCTCTTATAACATCTTGAGTAAGATTGTGGCTCAGCTTCATAGAATGAAGAGATATTTGTCTGCTGCTCAAGGTTTGGAAATGTGCGTTTATTTTCAAACTCAGTATGTGACACTCTACAGTTGATGGTAGCACGTCTGTGTGAAGCTTAACAACTGACAGCCAGTGATATGCAAACCCAGTTTCCCCTTTTTCATTCATTGTCAGGTTGTACACAAGGAGCAATACCTATATGACCAATAGCAGTTTATACACTACAACACTTCATCCCCTCTAACCACTCTTCCAGTGATGGGCTATCCATGGGATGCCTTTCAAATTATTGTGGGTAAGACTTTATCAAAGGGTTTTGTTTTATTCACAACATGGTACACCATCTTTCCAGACCTCAATATTAGATTGTTTTCTATACTGTTTAGCCAGCTTTCCCATTGCTGGGACACAATACCTAAGATCCACCACTCAGAAGAGGCTCACAGTTTTAGGGGATTCAGTCCATAATTTAAGACTGGCTATGAGGCAGAAATGTTGTGGCAGAAGGGGAGCAAAGATACTTAGTTCATGGTGGCCAGGAAGCAGACAGGAGTGTAGCACCAGAGAGAAAGGGGCCAGAAACCATACACAATACTGAAGGACATGCCTCCATGACCCGTCCAGACACAAACAGTGGTGTCCTTCACCAATCACCTGGGTGGCTCCCAGACCAATCAAGTAGACACAGTCAAGCTTAACCATTACAGCCACTTTCTTCTGTTTTAGAAATTTTGTTACTAAAGCACATTTTGGTTCAAAGATATACATTAGCCAAGGTAGACTAGCTGTTATAACAAACATTCCCGAATCTCAGTCACTTAGCATGCTTGTATTTTACTTCTTATTCACGTCACAGTTTGATGTGCTAAGTACTCAGCAAAGATCCTGCTCCATCCCGTGGTTCTACCATCTTCTCAAATTTCATAGACCTCAACAGAATTCTTCAATTTTGGTAGGCAGAGCAGGGAAGAAAGGGTGTGGAGTATTGGACAGGACATTTTGTTTTAGGGAACTAGATCACCAAGGTCCACATTCCACGGTGCCTAGCTGCAAGAAAGACCAAAACTGCAGGCAGGCTGTGGAAACAGAACTGTTTAAAATTCAGTAGTCTTTATCATCGCAAAATATATTTTAGAAAATCATAGACCAGAAGGCACAGGAAACTAGATCCTGGAATGTGCAAGAAATGAAGGAGAGGAACTGACCAGCTTCTGTGAGTATCCTATAGGACAGTGACCCAGTGGCTGGACACCTCTGCTTGGTTCTGGGAGGCACAAACATCCAAAGTGATCTGACTCAGGGTTGGAGTAAGATTGTGGCTCAACTCTACAGAATGAAGAGGTACTTGGCTGCTACTCAAGGTTTGGAAATGTGCTTTTATTTCAAACTCAGGTATGTGACACTCTACAGTTGATGCTAGCATGTCTGTGTGAGGTTTAACAACGTTAGGAATCGACAGCCAGTGATACACAAACCCAGCATCTCCTTCTTCATTCACCCTGTCAGGTTGTACATGAGGAGCAATACATATGGCTCTGTAGTGGCCAGAAAGTGAAGGTCCTTTTAGGAGGTGGTATCAACAATGGTGCAAACAACATACAGTATCTCTTTGCAATTGCAAACCAGTGAACCAGGCTTCTTGGGCTAAGCAGAAATGTCAGATTTCAGGGGCAATTTAAGGGGATCTTCATTTCAGACTGAGGTCACATTGGAAATACAGGGCCTGTTCCCATTTCACAGCTGCTTTGGCAGCAGCTGCAATTGTGTCAGGTTGATTTTTGCTTTCAGCCCTTGTAAATGTGGCTACTCTTCTGCCCCCGCTTGGAGATGTACTTTTCCTCGACTTCTCTTATTCAGATGGAGTAGTGTGGTAAAGGCCTCTGCCCAGAGTTCTCTCAGGCCTCTCTATGGGGGTACTGGCAGTGCAAGAGCTCTCTGCACCTGTGCTCTCCTTATCTCACTTTGAAATAGTGGTGGGAAACTTGTGTCAAAGTGGACAGAAGACTGGCTCAGCCTAGTTCTTCTTTCAGAGAGGCTAAGTCCCATGGCCACTCTCTTGGTATCTCCACTCATAGCCTGTCCTTGTGTCTGGGGGGGTTCAAGAAGCTAAAGCTCCTTCAGTTGTATACATGCCCCTGGGAGAGTCTAGCCATGTCTACCATGTCTACCCATGTCTCCAAAATCTCCCTGCCTTAAGCTGTACCTCTTGACCTTAATGGCACATCCTTGGACCATGGCATTTCCAGCCACTGGAAATGATGCCCCTGTAATAGTTTAAAAACATGGGTTTTTAAAATGGAACCTAGTCTAGGGGGATCTCCCTGAAGGGAGTGGTTGCATTGAGCCAATCTGTGAGCTGGGAATGGTGGTGCTGCTAGCCTGGTTTCATTGCTGTTCTTTCAGATTAGACTGAGAAATACTAGAAGAAGCTGAAATCAAGAAAGATGTCTTTTTTCATGGAGATGGGGTTGGGGATGGTGCCAGTATTGGGAAAATCACAAGATGTCAGCTGTCCCAGAGTGCTCTCCACCACCGCAATATTTGCTTGTTCTTGTGACCAACATTTAATGACACCCTCCCAGGCATCAGCCACCATGTTAGGCACTTACCCAAGAGGTGGGTAAGACATGGTTCTTGTCTTTGAGGAAAAATGCTCAGAGAGACAGATACATAGATAAGTTACGGTGGTAGATTGTAGGTACAAGTCAATGCCAAAAATACTTGACAAGTACCACAAGGCACAGAGGAGGGTATGGTCCATTCTGTTGGGGGATGTGGAAGGATGCCATGAAAGTCTGTATGGAAGGTCCATAAATTTTATATTCGATCCTCAAGAGTGTCTAGAAGAGAAAAACTGTGGGTAGAGGTACCGAGATGGGAGGAAAATAGTTTAGTTTGGAAGCAGAGGTAATTTGGAGAGCTGAGGGCCCAGTTGGTAAAAGGAGACTGGAATGGGAGTCATCCAGCTAGGAGACCATGGAAGAAGAGCCAATAATTCAGCGCAGGCTGAGGAGTGCAGCCCCTGGAGCCAGCTCCATGATTTACTAGCTGTGTGTCTCCATGTCTTTTTTGTGCTTCAGTCTTATCTGAAAGTGAGACAAGAGATGTCCACCATAGAGAATTTTCCTTGAGGACTAAGTGCATTGATACCTACAGAATACTGAGAACAGTGCTTGGTTTATAGAAAGTTCTATATGAATGTTAGCAGCAGAAGCAAATAACAACAACAACAACAACAAAAACAAAAGCAGCCACAACAGAACCCATACAGAAACAACTGCCCCCAAACTGATGAGGGCTAAATGAAGAGAGTGGCTGAAAAGGTGCAGAGAGATGTTAAACTGGAGATGGGACGTGCTTCTTCATTTAATGCTGATTAGCTGGTAGTATTCTAAAGCATACCTGCGGCTGGGGAATCCCATATGAACTGAAGCCCTAAGGTGCAGGTGAACACCACACAGAATGAGAGGCTAAGCTGAATGTGCACCACTGCAAAGGTGGGTGGGGCGATTGCTTTCAAAGGGAGGGAACTAATAGGAAATAGACTGTGCTGTACAGGAGTTCAGTCTTGGCATTTGAAGGGGGACCAGCAAGTTTGCCATGAAAACCATGGGGTTTCTGTGTTTTTCAAACATCTTCGGTCCAGGTAGAGAGCTCACCGTCCAGTGCTTGGACTGCCCCACACTTAGTGAAAATCTTTGAGTAGGCTTGACACGCATCTTACTTACCCACAGCACATACCCAGAGCACACATTCAGAGGAGTGTTCTCTACATGTGCACAGGTGTAGTATGTCTGTCTTGTCTGCATGTGTACACATTCGTATATATTAATTCACATTTCCCATTTCATTTCAAGCACTGATCTATACATTTGTCTGAGAAATCTTTTCTACTCAAAAAAAAAAAGAAACCAATTCCCAAAGTGAGGAGAAGAGGAGGCTGAAGGATAGTCATGGAAAATGAGACAGGAAGTGGGAAGATATTCATGTTGAGACTCCAAATTCCAGGTCTGATCCTTAGGGTCAGTACTAGCTATTAAGCACAATCCCTTCGACAACCAACTGCAGAAAGGAAAAGGGGAAGAATGAGCTTCTTCCTGTCCTCTCCATAAAGGTGTTTCAGTTCTCTCCAGCCAGCTGAGCTAGGGACAAGAGACCATCCCCTTGGGTAGAGCTTGGCGTAGGTCATTTCTTTGTCCACAGGAGGCTTGCGCAGGGCAGTTTTGTTGATCCTCCAAGAATATCATGTTACGGTGTATGAATAGCTCCCCAGAGGTGCCAAGTATGAAGAGAATCCCTCTCCTTTCCATGATGGGGTGGTGGTGGTGGCAGCATGTTCACACCTGGGCCTGACACATTCATTATATTTGGGGACTGGATATCCCAGAGCATGGCATTGACTAGGAATCTTTGACGAGGTTTCCTATTGCTCTGTAGGCTGCTCATGCTGGAGTCCTGAGCTCCACCAGGAGTCCCTCTGGGTTGCAGAGCAAGTGGATCTTCCAAGGGGCCCATCCGCCTGCTCCCCACAAGAGTTATAGGAAATATAGAGCCCCAGCACGATAGTCAAGATCAGCATCACTGCAGCCATCATCCAGATCACTTGCCAGTGCTGACAGAGTTTGGGATACATGACTTGTAAGAAATGGACCAATTGTTCAAGTTTGCTGTCAGTGAAAAACATAGGGGGAAGGTTTTAGTGTGTTTACAAATATAATTCCTGAAGCCACACTACTCTCCCTGGGGTTACCTTCTATGCTATCTAGAGCAGTGGTTCTTAAACTCAGCAGTGCAGAGAATCACTTGGAAGCAATTTGAAATACTCCTGGCTTACAAAATGATCATCTCCAAAATTATGAGCTAAGAATCTATGGTCAAGCTGCCTTGGTGACTTCGATGCCACTAGTCCATAGCCTTGACGGTGGGAGCAACTGTTCTAGAACACTCATCCATTCACTCCTTTCCTCATCTGCTCATGGTGTGATTACTGATACCTGTGTACCCTCTTGAACTGTGCCACCAGGTTGGCTGATCCATAATTTCATGGATCCAGACAGAACCACATCTTCTCTGCATTTAGTTGTCTTAGTGATCAGTTCCAGGTTCTATCTTGTTTCCTGACTCAGCGCGAAGATGCATAATACTTGTTCCCAGTTCTACCCTTAATTGCATCCACAGTGGAAGAACTGTGCTAAACTCTCAGAAGTGAATTGATTTCTGGTAAGAAATGACAAAGGGTCAGATCAACCTGAAGGGCTGGCTTCCTTCACACCACCCCAAGGGCAACTAGGAGATTATTAACCTCTGTGTGGTTCATTCAAGATGTTTTTCCAACTCATTATATTCATCCTCTAATTTCTTCTTCCTCTTTTTCTTTGCTCTCTTCTCTTTCTCCTTTTCTTGCCTGTCATCTCTGCTTCGTATTTCTTTCCCCCTTCAATTTGGCTGCCTTTCCAACTGCCTTTCCTATCGTTTCTTTCCCAACTGCCTTTCAACCTATCCTCTCTCTTTGTGGGCTGGTGAGACGTCATTTGGTCAGAGATCTGTATCTCTTTGGAGAAACACTGGACACCTTCATCGAGCTAAAATTTCCTCCTGTTTTTAATCCTTGATTTTTAACAATGTGGACAATGAGAATATTGAAGATCACCAAACTGAAGAGATGAGAAAAGTGTTAGAAGGGCTCCCTGAAGACTCAGAGGTTTATACAGTCAATGGAGAGGAGGACAAAATGGGCAGTTACTCCTCGGAGTAAGCAGCTGCACCTCTGCTAGTTTACCAGTTCTGTAGAGGAGCCAAAGGATATTCCTAATGTTTGTAGCTCTCTGCATGGCAGAGTAAGAAGCACATTTCTCAGAGGCTTATACCTGTAAAGGAACATAAGCCTCAGAGAGGGTTCAGCAGTTCCTACCCCCAAAAAGGGCTTGGAGAGCTGTAAACTTTGTGATAAGTAGGACTTGATGTTAGAAAGCAAACACACTTTGTAGAGTCCTTCTGTGGTCTGAACTACACTTTTGTCAGCAACATTTTTCCTGATCCCTTTTCCCATAAAACGCAATGGAGGTTAGGATAAAACGTGCAGTTACTCCTCAGAGCAAGCAACTGCATACAGGCCAGCTGCTGAGAAGCAGGGATTATTAATTCAGAGCTAGTAGAATGCATGGGTTACCATGGACTGAAAACCCAACAAATGCTTTCCTTAGAAAGAATGAATGCTCAAAGTGCTTGCCTCAGATGCTAAGGCTTCAGGAACAACAATTGGTTTCTTAGCCATGTAGGAACCCAGTCAGGTCATTTTAGGTACAATTAAGCAAAGCAAAAAAGCAAGAACTCTAGTTGATGTGAAAATCATTGGATATTTTCACAACTATTAGGAAGAGCTCAGAAATGCAGGCTTATTTTCTTTCAGTTCCACTTAGCATATTTAGATATAATTGAATACCAAAATGGAATCATTCTTTGCAGCTGCATTTCCACGCTCAAAACAGGCTTCTAGGGTGAGGAGAATTCTCTCCAAATCTACTTTAAGTGAGACTACAAAGGAGGAGGCCGAAATCTGACTTTGCAATCCTTACTTGATCACCCATTTCTAGTTTATAAGAGGTTAGAAATAAAATTAGGTTAGAAATAGAATTCAATTTTTGGCTGCTGCATGAACTGATTTTTGACAGTCATTGGAAAAGTAAATATCATTTTATCCCTGTTGAGCACTTAGGTGGGAGAAAATACCAAGTTTTATGTTGCACCTATGAGTCCCACTTGTTCAATGACTATGTGAATTTCAGAAGACTGTTATCTGTTTTAATATTGTTAAGATGATGGGCTGAGTCACCCAAAATTCCTTTAAACTGAATGTTCCAGGCAGCAATATTTATAACAGATTACATTATTACATATAATAGAGAAGAAATTCAGACCAAAGATATTCAATATTGAATCTCTTAAGTAAGGTCTGGGTACTGGGCTTAGCACAATGTTTTCAAAATGCACTAAGTAGGACATGGACCTTTTGATAACTGCAGTCTTTGTTAGTGAGATGCCAGACTTTCAGAGGGACTCATGTTTGAGTGAGGTAAAGCTTGCAGGCAACTCTGGGTCTGACATTCAAGTGGATAAGGACCACATGGCATTGAAGATGACAGCTTTCAAACCCAGTCTGGTTTGGAGGTCATGACATTATGATCATCAGCAGGCAGTTTATATGACAGCAACGTCGGCCCTTAAAATGATTATGGCGCCACACCGCTGGGTCTAAAAAGGTGAGGCCACACTCCTCTGTGGAAGGATAAGGACACTTCTGAGGGCTATGCTCAAGCCTCCTGTCACCTAAGGAACAGGTGTATTCCCAAAACCTAAAAGTAAATGTGGGAGGAAGAAAAAATTGGGAGACGGAATGAAGCCTCTCAGGATCAGCAGGACCAATAGGGCTCTTGGATGATGATGGCAGCCATTCCTAAGTGCTGATGACCAGCTGGGCAGGAGGGACTTAACCAAAGCCATATTTCTCTTGGGGTTTCATGAGAGAAGGGAGCTGCCAATTGCCTGAGACCAAATTAGCAAGATAAGGCCTGTGCTTTTTAAACCAGGCTGTTTATATTTCATGTTCTCTACGCCCTTCTCTCGTTCTTTCTCAGTGTTTGCAAGTGTTAGAACTTCCAGCCTGTCTTAGCTGTATTCAGGGTACCAAGGGATGGGCTTCTGTCCCAGCTTGGGATTGATGACATTAAGGGGAGGGAGGGAGTGCAGTGGCTTGAAAAACAAGAGCAGAGGACCCCAAGATGGTGGTGAGGTGTAAGGAGCACAAGATCCAGCTGCTAGGGGTAGGAATTGTGCTTTCATTGTTAGACTTGAGGTTCTTCCATTCCGGGAGGTAGTGTGCCCCAGCATAGGCTTATACTCATTGAGGATGTATTTTCCCCAGTCCTCCTTGGTAGCACTTCCCTTAAATAATGGGGTTGACGTAGGCGGGCTGAGATCCCTCCCTCTAGTAGAATTTTCCATGGAGGGCTCTGTAGATGGCTCCTTTAGTTTTGAGAAATAGCCACCTTGCTTTTGGTCTTCACTTTATTCATTGCATGTGAGTTATTGCCAGCAAGGGGGCACACATACACGCCCCTTTCCTTGTTCAGCAGCTGATTAGATAATTAATCATTTTGCCTGCATCTGCCCCATACTGAAGATAGCCTGGGGACTTGAGAGCAGGAATTTTAATGAAGTGTTCTAAGGTTGCTATAACCACGCTTTTAAAAATCAAAATTCAGAATACGTGCTTTGAATGTACAAATACCAGAAAAACATGAAATCAGTGCTGTCCTGAGAATCCAGTGTTGATGTGATATCTATCGGGCAGAGTGTACCTCTTCCAAGGGCACCAGTGTATTCTGTCCCTAAGCACACACTCCTGTGGGATAATCCTAGCCTAGTGGAGCTGAGACCTCACTACATGGAACATCCTGGCACTAGATGAGGTTATTTCTATTTTGGATGCTCAAGGCTAGACAAGACTACAAATGGGACAAGCTGTGGGATTTGTATGGTCTGAGTTTACAAGTTATATTTCCTCTCCTGATGTAGAGAAAAATACACTTGAAATAGATAAGTATTTTTAAAGAAAAACACAAATATTTCCAATCTGAAGTGAAGCTTCTGTGCAGATTCCAAGCTTGCATGGCCAGCATGGAAGGGGCCTGTTGGAGACTCACCTGTGCCACTGAGCTGAGTCTGCTCCAATCCCCTGTGTTCCCTGTGCCCCTATTCTTGCTCTTGTGAGAGATGCTCCCTGGGGCTTCCGGTCAGCAGCCTTGGTCTTGGCTCTCTCATGGGGTGGCTGGGGAATGAGCTCACCATGGCTAGATGGGAGGTTGCCCACTATCCTTCACTCTTTCTCAGATCCTTAGAGTTCTTGATTGTCATCTGCCCTGCCTATGACCGCATCTGATTCTGAACTCTGGCAAATGTCTCGTTCGCTGTTTTGGTTCTTTATTTCCTCTACTTGCTTCCCTGCACATGGGCCCTCTTGGCTTCTCTTGGCCACTTACTTAAGCCCCAGACTCACTGCTTCCCTGGACCGGCATTTCCAGACATTTTGTGTAGTTTAATAATTAAATAAATTTTAACTCATTTCAGCAACGTCAAGGGCTCCAAATGCAGGTTTCCCACCTGCTTCTCTGGTCCTTTTCCTCATCCTCAGTTTCTTCTACCTCTTCAGGTTCCTCAGGACTTTCATTCTTCTGTTCTTCCTCCTCCTCCTTCAAGTCTTGAAGTTCTTTGGTCTCTTTTAAACCTTTCTGATATCTGGAGGGCAAAAAGAAACAAATGAGACTGAAAGGGCCAGTTGTGGAGCATCTATTCCTGAATTCCTAGAGGGGGGAACTTAAGCACCTCCAATAATGACGCATTTCCTGTGGTCCCACACAACAGGAAAAAGCTGGGAAGCTCTACTAAACCCCTACACAGCCCATGTCAGTACAATTTCCCCTTACTCCTCAGTCATCCTTCCTGTTTATGTGACAGCGTGACACATTGACAGGGAAAAAAATGTGGGACAAGTTCTCCTGAGTTCTTACTCTACAAAACATTCTGTAGAGATAAGATTGCATTTACTTTCTGTGCTATCTTGGAGCTTTAGCTTTGCTTTTGTACAATAGTGAGTGTGACCATTATAGCACAGGGGATTGGGATGTTTATTGGAAGTGCTATAGTTCAACCTAGAAAGGTACTCAGTAGATGTTCACAAAGCCAGTGGAGGAGTTTGACCCCCCTGCATTCTGGGTAGACAACACCTATGGGTGAAAAGATGGGCTTTCCTAGTGAGACCCTTCTGATTTCCTTCTTTCTGGATTAGTATTACCCTAAACATACTCTGTCTCCTGGTCCTACAGCTGGATGTTTTAACTCCAGCAGTTTGGCTGGAACAGCCCCATCACTCATTCTGACTGCCACAAAGAAGCACTCCAGGTTCTGGCTGGCAGGAAGCTATGTCTCTCTCAAGAACAATGGGGACCATAACAGATGGGAGGTGGTTCTCTGCCTTGAGGCCTGTGCCTGGAACCCTGTTCAGTGCAGTCTTGCCCGAAACCAAAAGCTGGATCTTACATGCTACCGAAGTTTAATTAGACAAGGGGACGCTGGTTTAGAGGAGGAAGGGATACCCAGGACAGTTCTAGGAAGCAGAGCTGCAGCTGCCTGTGGGCACTGTTGCAGTAATGTGACCGCACAGCACATGTGTCAGGAAACCTCAGGCACCTCCAAGAGGAACCTACTCTAAGCCCCTGATTTCCAGACCATTCTGGGTAGTGATGCTCTTATGGCTTTGAGCCTAAAAGAGAGTTGTCTAATTATTGTCTAACCACACCCTTTGACCCTGCTTCCTTCCGTCCTTCCTGTGGAACAGTCTCTCTCTTTCCACTGTAGTTCTGTCCTGACACAAGGAGGCCCTGGGGTCACTCTTTGTTGCCCTTTATAAAGCTTCTAGGAAACAGGACAGGGCATGGGAAGGTATCTTCTGAAACCTGGTAGGTGCCCTAGGGGTGGCTGGGGTCTGACTCACCCCTTGTTGTAGGCTTCTTCCTCCATCCTGGCCTTGGTCTCTTGGCTGACCTCCAGAGAGCCTGGAGGCCTCACGAGAGCAGGACCTTCACAGTCTGGCTCCCCACTTGTCTTTCCACTAGAGAGAAGAGGGAAGCAATGGGCATCATTTCAGGGAGAGGTCAGGTGATTGCAAACAAAACCATCTTTTGCCTGATTCCTGATTGAGAAAAACGAAACCCAGGTTCTTTCAGTAGCTTCCAGACTTTTAAAAATCCTTCCACTTTGAGACAAGATTTTATCAAGCCTTCTTCATGAATCCTTCCTAGACCACAATACTACACTACTGTCCCCTTTCCTCATGTCCCCAAATCTACTTTTATTGTTGTTCCCAGAGGTGCTGTGAGTGGACAAATATTTGGCATTGAAAAATGGAAAATGAGGGCAGCCCAAAATATTCTGGGTCAGCCCTTTCCATAGTCTATCTTACGCCTCAGAATGCCCATTCATTCTGTCAAATAGTTACTGAGTTTAGCCAAGACACAGGCATATTACAATGTATTGAGGACACATCGGAAAGTAAGAAAAAGAAAAAAATTTTTTGGCTAATGTGGAGTTTCACAAAAGTTAATGTCCCCTAAATGAAAGGGAAAGAAAAAATGTAATTAATTACAGATAACAATATTTATGAAAGAATGATTCAGTGACAACAAATAATAAAGAGTGAATGTGTTTAGAGAGAATGGCTAAAAAGGCCTCTCTGAGGTGCTGACATTAAAGCATGGGCTTGAAAATGGGGGGTCGGCCATATTCAGGGCACGCAAAGATCACCCCAGCTAGCATGGCACCTTAGATCTTGGAGATGCAAAGAGTGCTGGGAAGTCTAAGGAGCAGAAAAGAGTTGGTGTGGCGGGGATTAACTTTTGGATGACGTGCAGGAAGCATCCAAGCAGAGATATCAAGTGAAAAGTTGGACATACCAAAGGGAGGCAGAATCCTATGGTGAATGTAATCATAATGTCTATCTAAAATATACAATAAACTTAAGTAATAAAAAGACAAAGTGAAGGGCTGGGGATTTCACTCAGTGGCACCGCACCTGCCTTGCAAGTGCAAGGTCCTGAGTTCAATCTCCAGTACCATAAACAAACAAACAAAACAAAAACGAAGTGAGGCAGAGAAGAGCTGTGGCTAGAGATGCTCATTAAAGCCAATGAAATGAATGATTGTCTTTGGGGCAACGTGAGGAAAGATGAGAAGAGGACCCAAGACCAATCCCTGGGTATCTCTGCACTTAGCACAGGTAGAGAAGAAGGAGCCCACAAAGGAGGCCAAGAAGTAACAGCCTGAGAGGTGGGAGGAAGCCAGGAGGGCATGGAATCTTGGGAGTCAGGAGAGAAGAGTGCGTCAGGGAGGGAGAATTCTCATGTCTCATGGCCTCTTGTAGGACTCTGAGTCAGATGGGGCAAAGTACATATTCAATTTGAAAATGCAGAAGTCAAGAGGAACCTTGAGGTGATGGTGGGAGCCAGGGCAACTGGAATGGGCTTGGTAAAGCGTGGAAGGTGAAAAAAAAAAGGGTAGAGACATGGGTGCAATCATTTCACTAGGAAAAGGATTCAAGGAGAGAGGAAGCACTTGGCTGAAGAAGTGGATTAGGGATGAAACCACATTTGAACACAGATATGATCCAGAAGGTGGGGTGAGAGAAAAAGGGTAACCAAAGAGCAAAGTTTTGCCTGAAGGAATAAAGACCTTAGGAAGGCGGAGAAAGTGCTCCTGGTTCTCACCAAGGGGAGAAGACCAAGAGAGTGAGTTGGGCACCTGGTGAGGAAAGGTGAGAGGGCTGCTGTCTAATGACATCTTACATTTTCTCTACAAAGTGGAAGACATCTGTTGACATCACCTGTTGACAGCGAGCCCTCTAGGGCCCTAGGAAGGTTTCAGGAGAGAGTAGAAGGTATGAGAGTCACACAGGAAGGTAGGAAAATACACATGCTAGCAAGTCACAGTGGGACGGCTGGGCAGTTCTGGGAACCCATCTGAGGGATGGATGGAATCACACTTTTTCGGAAATCTCCTGACGGCCACCCCTTCCCTACAAATCCTGCAGCCCATCTAGGTGACCAGAGTCCCGATGGGCATAACTGTCTTGGAGGAGCCCTCAGAAGAGGAAAAGCCGTGAGCAGAGCTGTGCACCCCGGGCTCTGAGGCAGCGCAGCTGCCCTTCCCTGCCGACCTCTCAGGCGGGGTTTATGAGTGAACCTTCCATCCGCTCCCTGCTCTTGGCATCACTTCCTCCATCTCTTAGTTTTCCCTTCCAACCTTAAAACTTTACATTTCATCAGGCTGGAAGCCCAAACCCATTGTGAACAAGAGAGATAACACTCTAAAAATACCGGCTATTCATAACATCTCTCCTTTTGCAAATTGCATGATCCACTCCCTCCCATGTGACCTTTGCCTAATGCGCAGTTTCCTATTTGTGCAAATGATTGGAGCTACAGAAGAAAAACACAGCCCCAGCCAAGGGCAGGGACAGTCATTCTTTTATAAAATATATTTATATATTAGGAATGAAATATTGGCACCATGCTTTTAATTTCTTTCTCTACAGCTGTTGGCTTTGGAGGGAGGACAGTGTGGTAAAGAGGAAAAGAATTTACTCAAGGCAAACCTGGGTTCAGATCTGTTCCAGAACATGTGGATGACCTGACTTTCCTAAACTGTGGTTTCTTCAGCTACACAAATGGGGATAATAGTACATGCGTGGTAGTAATAAGAGTTCAGGAAGAAATATAAGGAAACTTTCTGGACTAGGACGCTCAACAAATGATATCTTTTATTATTGCTACCGTTATGTAGTAAACTTATTGGTAAATGTTGGGACTAATCTGAGGTTCTTCTAAACATGAAATTTACATAAAATTGCTTTAATAAATTTCTCTATTGTATGTCCACTGTGTGTCGTAACACTCATGTACCTTAAGAGTTTTGCTGGCTGAATGACTGAACAAAACTTTCACTGTCGGGTCACATCTCCCAAGAGACTGAAATTTTTCTCTAGTAGAGCCAAGAAGACTTTGATTCACCTGCAGGGATTTTCCGTATATTCCAGCTGCCCTGTGAGATTTTCATATTCACTGCTTGCTCGATAAGAACAGCCAACATTTAAACAGGGTGCCACGTTCTGTTTTAAGATCTTAGCACTCTTGGATGACTCCCTAAGTACTATTCTCATTCTGACAGGTGAGGAAACCAGGGCTCAGAGGAATTAAACAACCAGCCCAAGATCAAACAACTAGAGTGCAACCCACATCTGCCCATGGCTTTTATTTTTTTCTGGTACTAGGGATGCCAGCCTCATGCAGGCCAACCTAGCACTCTGGTGCTCAGCTACATCCCAGCCCCTTAAAATTTTTGTTTTACGATAATGTCTCTCTAAGTTGTCCAGGCTGGCCCTGAACTTGCAATCCTTCTGCTTCCTCCTCAGTAGCTGGGATCTATGCATGTGCACCCCTACACCCAGTCCACCCATGCTTATATCTGCACTGTCTTTCCCCCTTGGAGGGCATTACTCCATTTCACAGATAAGAAACCCAAGCTCAGGTTGAGTGAGTGACTTTGTTCACATCATTGGCGCTGTACTCTCACTTTAGTCTTTCAACTTCATGACAAGATGCACTTTTAGACCTCCTGAGCCCTCCTTTTCTATATGTCTTTTTCTGTTGGTTTGTCTTTTGTTTTTTGAAGACAAGTTCTTGCTATGTGTTCCAGGCTGGACTCAAACTTGCTATGTATCTCAGGTTGGCCTCAAACTCACACTGATTCTCCTGCCTCAGCCTCCAGAGTGCTGGGATTTCCTATAGAATTTCTTTTCCTGAAGCACTGAGCTACTTGTGGAGCCCAAGGTTCCTACTGAGCGAGGTCATTCCCACCTGTAGGCTGGAGCACTGCTAATGAGGTACGAGGTGGGTGGGAGGGCCTTGGTGGTGGGGGAAAAACATCATGTACACTGTTTGCTTTTTACTTCTACCCTGAGCTTGTATTTCCCTGAATATCTTCTCCAACTACCTCTAAGTTTCTCTGAAGGCATCTTTAAGACTCAGCTGAAACCCTTGTCCTCTGTGAAAACTTTGTTAGTGATTGTCCCTCTCCCACACTCTCTGGATAGTTAATCTCCCTTTCTTTGTGCTCTCACCACACCTCCATCATGGCATGACATGGACAGAAGGCATTTTTTATATGCCTTCCCATTCCATTTTGATGACTGTGATCACAGGGGTAGGTGTTTCAGTCAGAATGAGGCTCAGCACACAGTAGATGCCTATAAATGTTTGTTGAGAAGCCCCGACTTCCCTACGGCTTATCCAGTCCTCCTAGGGAATATTGTGAAATGGGAAGGACCCCTCTGTACTTCCTGAGAACCCAGTATTTATGTTGGGCTCAAGGAATTTGTTTTCATATTTGTAAATGAGGATTAAGCACAGTCTGTGCCCACCCCAGGGATTTCTGGGCCAAACATTCACTGATCTTGGCATCTGTCCCCAGCCTGAAATCTTACATGCCTTTTACTCTGGGGTGATTGACTGAAATGAAGCTCATTGTTCTTGTATGTTCACCAGTCAAAAGTGTTTGTCATTGTGCTCCTCCTAGTCATGTGAGGGGCCTTTTAGGCAAAATGTGCTGTTGAATGGCCGGGTATATTAGATTTAATGTTTTCCACATAGCATTTGAAAGTGACTACAATCCTCCTTCCGATGCACACATCTTACTTCTTGGGCCCAGCAGTGTGTCTAAGTCACCCCCACTGCTACAGCTCCCCTGCCAAGCTCAATCCAAAGGAACCAAGCCAGAATATTTTCCTTACCCCCTGTCACTCAGTCCCAGATTGCTGGGTTCGCATAAGTTTATCGGGGGATAATTCACTCCAGAATACTACTGGGTGGGTGCTGCTATTGTACAAATTTAATATAAAACCTTTAAGGAATTTATCCTGGTTGTTTTAAAAGTATAAAAGATGGTGGGCTTGGAGATCATACTTAAAACTGCACTGGGATTCATTGGCATAATGGGACCCTTTATGAAACTAACTCAACGTACATCCAGACCCCAGGTTTGCTGATTCCTCAGCTAAGGGTTTTGCACACATCTTGCCTCCCACCCCATTCTGCCCTCCTCTGCACTTTCATTCAGTCACCAGGTTCTTCCCAAAAGGGCTCTTCAATCCGCCCTCTTCTCTGCAGTCACCCTGGACTTCCTTTGTTCCATTAAGAAGTTAAGAGCCCAAGCTGGGCTATCTACTAGCTCTGTAAGCTCAGGGAAGTGACCATTTCTCTGGGCACCAATTTCCCTTCTATAAAACAGGGATATTAGTAGTGTACCTAACCTTGTGGGAGTATTGTGAAGATTAAATGAGATTCTTAATGTAAAGAAATTAGTAAAGTAGTCAGCAGATGGTAGTGTGCAGTAAATAATAATTATCACCCCTACCACCACCACCACCACCATCATCGTCAGCCCTCAAATGCTCCATTCTTTCTAGCCTCACAGCCTGGAGTGCTGTTAACCTCCTGTTCACCTATTTAATTATATAACCTTTAGGTTTCACTTGAAAAATAAGTTCTGAGAGGGAAGCATTTTCTGAACCTCCCCTTCCCTGAGCCCACACCCTAACTGGGTTAGATGCTTATTTTCTTGTGTGTTGCTCCTTTAGCAACCTGCGCTTCCTTACAATAACACACATCCCACTGTCAAATAACAGGCTGTTTCCCGTCTGTCTTTCCCACTAGATTGAAGCTCCTTGAGTGCAGTCTGTGCCCCAGGCTTGGTGATTAGTTGCCAAAAGAATGAAGAATGGAAGACTACAAATGTACAGGTCTTCCTATACAAGAGTGTGGAACTGCTCTTGAGCTTTGTTCTGTTATAATCTTTAAGTCTAACTTCAAACATCACTCTCCACCTGCATGATTCATTAGGTCTGCAAGCCCCCAGGCGTCTGAGCAAGGCTAAGAAGTCTCTGCACTCACACTGGGCAGAGCCATCAGCTCTCAGGCATTTATTTATGAGGCTATCATGGGCTCTTTGGTCTTCTTCTCACAGGCTTAGCTAGTTCCCTTCTTGCTTAGTTACTGAATGCTTGGAAAATGTGGAATCCTTTTAGCAGAAAGTGAAATATAACAAACTAGATAGCGATGTCTATTAAATTATATCACATTGTTTCTCTTTAACAATATGGATAGGGTAGCTAGAATTAGAATTGACTGTATCTGTGGAGGTCATTTTCATTTATGATATGTCTCACTGTTAGCCACTTGGGAAACCATTAAAAGTTTCCAGTTTCATGAGTTCAGATAGAAACCACTTAACACATTTTATAAATCCAGAGGGAGAAGTTGCTCTTTGTCCCAAGTCTCTCCTCTTTTGACTCCTCCCTCCACTCTTTGCATGAATCCCTGTATGGCTGTATTCCCAACAGATGAGTCAGCCCACATCACCCATGGCTACTGATGATCTCTCTGGTAAGCCCTAGGAGGAGATGCAGACACCTTTCTGGGAACCTCTTGCTTGAGTAGCCTTGATTCTCACTTTGACCCTTCTCCCTAGACTCTAAAAGCTTAAAAAAGTGATACTACCACTGATCCTCACCTGTTGCCACTCTAAATTTGGGGCTGCTGCCTGCTCTTCCCAACTTTGTACCCCAGTTTCTCCTACCAAGGATAGCTTGTGTTCTTGATGATCCCTGCCACATTGGTTGGAAGCTCTCAGCTGGCCTGAGCATTAGTTCTCTGGAGACCAAGCCTTGCTCCAACATGATGAGAATCTGTTGCAAAGAGCAGGGACCTCAGTCTTCTGCCTTGACCTGCTCTGCAGGCTTAGAGTTGGTAATGGGGCCTTGTTGGAGCACTGTGGAGTGGGGTTGGCTTACCCAAAAGGAGGGCTGTACTATGACTCCGGGGATTGGTAAGGTTCTGTAGCTTTAGCTACTTTCACATATGGCTAATGTGTCACCCATTTATCATGTCCCTGTAGGGATGGGATAAAGGAGGAGTAGAGAAAGTGGATGGGTACTGCCTAACCATAGTGAGGTGGCAAGGAAAGAAAATCCGGGCAAACTTCTAGACTAACCAGATGTGAGGAAAACAAGCTGAGTCTGCTTGAAGCTTGTCTGTACTGACAAGGGGCCCAGCATGCACTTTCCTGCCAGGTCAAGTAAAACTTTTCTAGTAGAATGGAAAATGAAGGACTAAAGCTGTCTAGAGGCAAGGAAGAAGGAAGAATCAGGTCTATGTTCTCCCAAGTGAGGAAAGATGTAAGGGGAAAGTTCTGAGAGGTGGCAGCTGCTATCCAGATGTTTTCAATCAAGCAAATGAAAGCGTTTTAAAAGTAAGTTATAAACTCTTTCAAACACATAGAAACAGGCTGACTTACTCTGGCTGGGGATGAAAAGACCCACATATTGCACAGATGCCTAGAAAAGTCGGGCAAAACAGACACTGTTGGCTGCAGATGCGACACTTATCTTCCTTCCTCCTTCCTAGCAGCAACGTGATTTTGCATAGGAATTTACTCTTGTTCACAGAGTCGCTGTGCTTCACTGGCTATCCTCATCCCACCTTTAGGGCAGAATTTAAGCCCATAATGATTACGCAGTTCCCAAAGCTTGTTCCCGATTTGCCAATGCCTAAGAAGGGAGATGGGGGATACTGCTGGGTTCATTCCTGAGGAAGAACTAGGGGAAGGGTGGTACCTGTCTCCCTCTAGACATTGTCCATTCTGGATGGAATCCCTGGAACTACAGCCATTTGCCACAGCCTGAAGAAGAGGCAACATATGAAGCTCCAGAGGCAAGGACACTGTAGAGACTGAGCTGGAGTCCTGCCATGCCACATCTGTAGCCCCCGGACCACTGGACGTATTATTTCAGCCCCTTTGAGTTAGGGTTTTCTCATATCTGTAGCCCTAAAAATATCAACCAGTGGGAAAGGGTGCTGCATCCTCTGGGCTCTTCTTATGTAGGATGCATTTGGCCTCAGCCATTGCATCTCGTGGTCCAAGAACTTTGCAGTTTCTCTGAAATCCTTGTGATTCTCAGAGTCCCTTTCACTTTCCTTAGAACTTAGCTTTTTCTTGCCATCACATTTTGGGGCTGAGGTTGAGAAGACAGGGAATGAGTTGGGGAAAGTTTCCTTAAATATTTTCAACTGTAAGAGGAAAATTGGCAAACTTACTTTTCCAAAAGTGCGGGCAGTGCTGGGGTGACGGAGAGGTTGCCTTTCCCGTTGGGCGATTCTGACTGGATGGGAAACAGGAGGTAGAATTGAGCGTGAGAGACAACGAAGAAGCTAGGGTTGCTAGGCCTTGGGTCGTGCTGGCGAAGGGCTTCCAGAGCTCCCCCTCCTTTCTCCCCTCTCTCCACCCCACTTTCCAGTCTCCACCAGAGCCCAGGAATCCTCCTTTCCCTCACGGCTTCCTTGTCCTCCTTTTCTCAGTGTCCCCTCCCTCTGGGGCATCGATGACTTGCTGCTTTTCCTGAGGGAAGGGCAGTTTACACTTTGAGTTTCTATTCTAGAGGAGAGCTGACAGTATTTTCTGTCCCATTTCCCAACTGTGACTTCACACCAGTGGGCCCCCTACCCACTGCGAACCCCGGGATGAACTCACAGTAGCCCATCATAGCCCTCTGGACAGCTCTTAGGAGAGGCTTGCCATTACTTCATGCTCAAGCCAGCAGGAATTTCTGCACAGTCAACTCCCCAGGACTTCCATGCTGCAGTGGATATGGTTTCAGCAGCGTTCTCAACTCTGCCTGCACGCTAGAGTCACTTGGAGATTTTTTTAAAAATACTGATTCATCCCAGAGTCTTGGGATAGGGCCTGGGCATAAAGCATTTTCAGAGTGCTCTCTTGATTTTAACATATACTCCTGGTCTAAATAAATATATACTGTAATACCTTGGTTCATGAATACTTCTGTTTGTAAACAATTTGGTTCACACACAAAAAAAATCTTTTAGCAAAATTTTGCTTCTGTTAGCAAATTCCACATTGGGTGACCAACACAACCATTGGCATCTTCCCCACACAAACACAAACACAGCCGTCTTCCCCAAAATTGTAAAACAATTAAGTTCATAAACCAAGGCACCGCTGTATTTGGAAACCACATTTTATACATTTAGGTGGAGTGTGGGAAATAAGTCTATTAACATATGTCAGCAACTGGGGATTTAGCTCAGTAGCCTGCCTTGCAAGTGTAAGGTCCTGAGTTCAATCCCCGGTACAAAATAAAAACCATAAAAACAAACAAACAAAAAAAACCCAAACCCAAATCAAACCAAACAAAAACAAACAAACAAAAACATGTTAACAAACCTTTCTGATCCTACTTAACTTTTCCCCCCTGATGTTCATTAATCACTCCCAAATCTCTAAAAGCATAATTTGGGAATAATGATTTGGGAGTTTAGGATCATTTCATAAATGGCTGAACTGAGTAAGGTGGGAAGAGGTGAAAGAAATTTGAGAGCTATTGCTACCTTGGTGTGACAACAGAATCTGAATTTACCAGTCACTTGCACAACTGTTTATTTATACAGTAGTGCTAGTTATGGACCAAGAATAGAGAAATCCCTAGGGAAAGACTTAAACAAGTTTTTGATAGAATTAACTAGATGCACAAAAGCTTGGGATGTGGAAAATACTTCCTTATAAATATAGAGACTGTCTTTATTTAAAGAAATTGAAATGGATTTTTTTTCTGATTACCTGTATTTCTTACTGTGGAAATATAAAAAGGCATCAAGAAAAAAATTACCTGTTTTACCACTGCCTAGAGACAACTATTATTAGTAGTTTTACATATATCTTTTCAGAATTTTCTATGTCTACACATAGAAAGAAAATTTTAAAAATACAAAGCAGAATTATACTGCATATACACTAACATTTATGTATATTTTAAGTTGCTATCTATTCAAAATAAATCATGGGTGATAATTCTATAGAATTACATGATATCCCTAATTTGTTTACTAATCTCTTATTCATGGACATTGAGTTGTTTCCAGTGTTTCACAGTTATAAGTAATGTTGCCATGAATCCAGCAACACGGAGTTTAAGAACTCAAGCTCTGGGTTCCGAGGGCCTTGGGTTCAAAGCTCAGCTCTACCACTCACTACATGCTGCAACCCTTGGCTACCTAAAGCCCCTTCAGAGTGCAAAAGAATCATACACACCTTGGAGAATTGTGGTTTAAGCATGAGTTCCCACCTGTAAGGAACATTTTCTGAGCTGCCTACATCTTGCTTAAGGGCACTCAGAGCTCTTTTCAGAGTGGTGGCCTGCTCTGCATTGAGCTCTTTAGAGCTACCATTCAAATTCTGAGCTGGAAATTTCCTGTCCTTGTTGACGCTGACCCTGCCCTGCCTACCATAGTAGTGCATGTGAGGGAAAGGGAAGAATCGGGCTAAAAGCAAGGCATTGTCGTACTCACCAGAACTGGTAGGGAAGGGATGGGTGATGAGCTGGGAGACTGGCCAGGTAGGTTCAGGGCATTAAACTTGGGAACCACAGCAACGCTGACTCTCCGTCGGGGCATGTTCTGTGGGAAGAAAAGTGACCAGACCCACTTCTTAGAGGTAGCAACAGTCTGAAGGGCTTGGAAAAGGTCTGTAGTTCCTATGGCTGTAATGGCATTCATGGGGAAATTTGGCTTGGAGGTACCGACAGTGTTGAGGATTGGTGTGGAGAGAGGAGACGGAAGTTGAACCAAATTTTCTGTTGGTGGTGAGTGCTCACTCACCTTGTTCCTATTTTAGATTATGAAATTCGGGAGAAACAGAATGGAAGTGGTTTGTCTCCAAGTAACTTCCTAGATGCTTATAAAAACTGCCTGCAGCAACGCCCAGGTAACAGACATCATTTCATGATCCTTTAGGGGATGTGTAGGCAGGGAAACGCATGAGCCAGAAAGGGGAGAGATCGGTGTTTATGCTGGCAAGTGTGAAACTGAGCAGAAACCATGCAGAGAGCCACTAGAATGGATCCAAGATGGATGACAGCTTGTGTCACCATGGGAACTTTTGTCATACTTCTTCTGGAAGGTGTGGTACTGTGTACATACCTTTCCCATCGTGAGGGACATGGACCGTGCCGTGCGAGGCACCCCATCTTCTATAGCAGGAGGAAACAGAGAAGAGAACTCATGTAAGTTTCAGCAAGAAACAGGAAGGCAGAAACTATGCCAAGATACCTATGGGGCAGAACTGGCCTTCCAAGGATGGCCCAAGGGTCCAGGTGTAGGTGTAGGGCACTTGATCACCTGCATAGTGGGAACCCTTGGACAAAGGGTTCCTTTATCCTAACTCCCCTGGACACTACATGAAGCCCTGATCTTGGCCCTCTGACGTTCACTTGAGACCACCACAGATCCTAGCTATCACGCATAGCACTACTAAGGCTTACAGAGTCATTTCGCATTCATTCAAAGGAGATACAGTCAAACTGTGAGCACAGAAGGTGTCTTGGTGTGAATGAAAACTTGCTAACAGAAGTAGTTTCAAAACATCACTATACAACGGCTAGGAGAAAGGAAGCTACCATCCTAGGATTTTCTTCTCTTTAGTATGTACATTCAGTGATATAATTTAGGTCAGATATGTAACATCACACCACATAACAGTACTACCAGGAAACATTCCAATACACGACAAGAAACACATTGGCAAGGTCAAATCAGTGTAATTTAGTTATCATCTAGCCTGTGTATCCGTCTGTCCTTCATACCCATATATTTTAGGTGTGTCTGTTGAAAACCACGTAGGGGCTTTTTTCCCCTTCCTTCCTCCCTCCCCTCCCCTGTCCTTCTCTCCCCTTCCCTTCCTTCCAGTGTTGCCCAGGCTCATTTCAAAACTTCTACGACTCAGAAAAAAACAAAAACAAAAACACAAAACAAACTTCTAGGACTCATGTGATCCTCCCACCTCAGGTCCTGAGTGCTAAGATTACAGGTCCATGCCACAGTGCCCAGTCATATATATTTTTTCTTAATGTCACTACCACAATAGAGGTTCTCCATTAACCAACAGGTTTGCTCTGCCTATATTTCCTGTGCTTGTTGATGTATTTATATTTATTTACGTTATCTCATTTTCTATTTACCCTTTTTATTCATTGACTTTTTTTCTAATCCCTTTTCCATGAATTCTAATTTTTCATGTGTTACTTTAACTTTTGGACATATAGTTTGACTTTAATATTAATCAAGTTCTCTATTTTTTTTTCCTGAATAGGTCTTAAAACAATAACCCCCTCCAATCTTAATTATATTGTTTTTCACTATTTTTATTTCACCTTGTTTTATATTCCCATAGCATTCATTATGATTGTTGCTTTCTACAGTGAATGCTTTTTTAGATTTGTCCACATGCTTACACGTCTCTGATCATTGTTCTTTCTTGCATCCTTATTCTTTCTTGATTGAGCTCAGTCTCCTTCTTAAGTGTATCCTCTTGCTTGTTGGTGTTGTTGTTGTTTTTGTTTTCGAGACAGGGTCTCATCAAGTGGTCCAGGCTGGCCTTGAACTCACTATGTCGTCCAGGGTACCTTCAAATTGATAGCAATTCTCCTGCCTCAGCCTCTCAAGTGCTGGGGTGCTGCCATGCCCATGCCCGGCTTCTAGTTGTCCTTTTAACAAGGGCTTCTCTCTCATTAGTTGTCTCAAAATGTTTTTACTTAGCTCTCACCCTTGCAAGCAGTATATGTTTAGGTTTTAAGTGTAGGTGATAATTGTTTTCTCTCAGCTCTTTGAAAAGGTTATTCCACTGTATTCTGATGCCGTTATTGCATTTGAGAATTGCCATCCCTCCATGAATTACCACCTCTGTCTGGTTGCTTTTAAGATCTCTTTGCCTTTGCTCCTCTGAAGTTTTTATCATGTGTTTTCATTGCTCCTGTGGGGAATTCACAAGGCTTTATGAACTCAGTGATTTAGGTCTTTAGTCCTGGAAAATCCTCAGCTATTCCTTCTTTACATATTTTCTATCTTTAATTTTCCTCTTATAGATTATCTAATAAATGCACTGCAGACGTTCTCATTTCATACTGTGTATCACGTGCCACATAATGTTTCTTTTATTTTTTTTAATCGCTGTGTCCCCCAGAACTGCATTTTGGGGTAACCATCTCAAATCTGTCTTCTGATCAAATGGAGTTTCCAGTATTCTGAAGCAGTGATGGTTGTCGGTCAGGAGAGAGAAAGAGAAAGCAGCACAGCACTTTCTAAGGCCCTCAGCTCGGTGGGACTTGCCTCTCATTCACCAAAGCCTACCACACGGCCTCCAAGGGGATGGGGAAACGTGCTCCGAAGGAGCAAATCTGGAATATTGAGGAATGGCCTCATCGGCACAACTCTTACACCTGCACTCCTGGATTTTTCATTCCTGTGACTGTATGACTCATTTTGAGAAGTTCTATTCTACCCTATTTTGATAACTATTTTTTTACTTTCGTGCTTTCCATCCATTCTTTTATGCCTCCAATAATTTTTAATGTATCTTTTTTTAAAAATTCAGATTTTTTTGGACATTCTTCATATAAGCTTATGGTTCATTAGGTCTGACGATTGTTGTTCGTAGTGGATTGTGTATTTCATAGTTTTGCGTCTTCAACGAGGCTTTATCTAAAGAATCCTGAGTGTCTGGGGTACAGGGTGTGTCTCTCCAGGGTGACTGACCATGCCCTAAAGGCACCATCCTGCTGTCTTTCAGATTCTTTGCATATTGCACCATCCTTGCTGTCACTCTGAGCACGTACTTTTCCTATGAGGAAGGAGAAAGTATTTTTTTCCTATTAGAGTGCAGGGCTAAAACAGACAACTTCCTTGTTTCTCAGCTGGTTGGTGATTGTCTTTTGTCCAAACTCTATTTAAAGATGCAGTCCTCCGAAGGGCTTAGATTTCTGTGTGAATCTCAGTGTCGACTCTATTAAGAACATTCAAGGCCTTATCTCAGGGCAAACCCAATGCAAATGCTTAGCCCCAGACAACTGAACCCCCAGATAATAGACTCTGTCTCTAAGGAACCTGCAGGATCAGCTTGGTTTCAGTTCCTTCCTTGTATCTGGGCACTTCAATTTCTTTTCTTGCGGATTCAGCTGTTCTTTTAGAGTGCTTGCTTTATTTTGTCCAACACAAATTTCTAAGTATTTATGGACAAAGTGTTTTCAAATTCTCCAGTCAGCCAAAATAGTAAACCCAGAAAATATTTTTTATATATGAAGAGTTCAAACAATTTAACAAAATACCAACTTTACAAGGGACCAAAGGACATAATTAGAGAATTTACAAAAGTAGAAATAAATGTTTAATAAATATTTGAACGGGTAACTAAATAAAAATTAAAATTATTAGATAAAGTAATTTTTTACTTTCAAATTCATAAAATTTTTATAAAGAAAGAACAAGACGAGGGCCTGAGATTTAGCTCAGTGGTTCCACTGCCTGCCTTGCAAACACAAGGTCCTGAATTTCATCCCCAGTACAACAAGAAAAAAAAAAAACAAAAAAAAAGAAAGAAAGAAGAATTACATCAATAGCACAATGAATTCAGCATCATTGTTACCCATTAAATGAAAATACAAATAAATAATTTGAAAATATTTTGCTTTAAGAGCCTTATACTTTCTCCCTGAACTAGTATCTATACTTCTAGAAATTTACCTTAAAGAAATAGTCCAAAATGAGGATAATGGGCATGTTGCATATTCAGAAAAATGTTCTTTAAAATGTGTATCTTATTTTTTGAAATCAGGAATATTTTATTTCACTGTAGTGTTCTAAGTCTCAACAGTAGACAAAGATTACCAGAAGTCATCTGAAGGCTTAAAAATCAAACATTATTAGGAAATTATCGTAGCATATCCCATGGACCTACCTTCTGGGTTTTTACTTCCCCCTCTGCACCAGCCACCACCAGTGAAGATATAGTTTAGAAAAAACATGTGGTGGCACATGCCTATAATCCCAGCACTTGGGAGGCTGAGGCAGGAGGATCGCTGTGAGTTCGAGACCAGCCTGGGGTACATAGTGAGTTCCAGGTCAGTCTCAACTACAGAGTGAGACCCTGTCTCAAAAAACAAAGACAAAAAAGAAAAAACAACTGAAGTGGAAGCAAAGATCCCAAACCCATGTATTCATCAATCAAGACTCAGATATCATGTTCTTTCCTATTACATGCCTTTTCCTTTCCTCCCAGAAGGACTGTGGGACTCTGCACAGCACACCCACATTTACATTATAGCAGTGGCTGCACTGCCCTGACCACCCGTAGACTGGGAGCTCCTTTGTGTTTGTGACTGTGTACCCCGTGACCCCATTCTCCGGTATCATATGGGGCAGACCAAAAATGTTCAATAAATGTCTATAGAATGAATGAAAGAGACTCACTGGTAAACTGCTCATCTCACAAATCTTGGGTAAGGTGGTTCTTAGACTTTGAATCTTGCAGGCCAATCATGTGAGAATCCTCATACTAGAGTTTCCTGGGCAACAACTTCCGGTCAAGTCCAATGCTGGCCAGGAGCAGCCCAGATGCCTGGTTGGGAGTCTTGCTGCTGAGATGCAAAGCAGACAACCTGGAGCATGTGCACACTGCCTCTGGACTCTGGAAGTGTCACGGATATTCCCCAGGAAACTTGTTAAACCTCCTGTTTATAAAGATTTCTCCATTTGTTGTACTTTCTCTCCTCCTACTCTCAGTAACACGGATGTTTGCATTCCACAGGGATTCCTGATGTAAAAAGGTCCATTTTCTCTGGTGAGCCACTTTCATCGGCAAGAGGCCAAGCCCTGGCAGCATCCAAGGAGAGATCTTGGCCCAAGGCACCGTCATCTCTCTCCTGGACTGAGCAAGAGCCACCTTACTTGTCTTTCCTTGCTTAACCTTGTTCACTCTTCTATTGCACGGTGTACATTAAAGTTAGAGTTATCTTCTAAAAATAAAATCTGGTCATGCCATACGATGTAAACTTACCAGTGACTCCCCTGTGCCTGGAGCACAGAAGCCTGCATTGTTAGCAAGGCCTGGCAGGTAGCTCTGGTCCCCAAAATGCAACATCAGACTATTTTGTCTTCTTCCACCAGGTATGAGTCTCCCCCTCTTGAGTGCAGAACTTCTACATTTACTTTATTTTTTATTTTTATTTTTTGGTACCGGAGATCAAACTCGGGTCCTTGCGCTCGCATGGCAGGCGGCGGAACCACTTCTATATTTACTTTAAAACACTGGCCAGGCACTGTCTCTCGGTGAAGCCTTCCTTGATTCCTTCATTCAGAATTAAGTAGACCTTCTTCTGTGGTCCTCGACCAACTTGTGTAGAATTTAAACTAAGTTGAGCATTTCTTGAAATCATTCACCTTGCCCACAGGTCTGCTGCTTTTCTCAATATCTCTTTAGCCAGGCTTTCACTCCACCCCATGACCAGATATCAACTTCACCTGGGCTGTTGCAGTAGTTGCTCCATGGGGCTTTCTGGCTTTGGCCTGTTCTGGTAATGTAACTGACCCATTCCAGTTGGAGAGAACTTTCTTAAATTATATATATGATCATGCTCTTTCCTTAGTTGGATATCGAATGGTTTCCAGAATACAGCCCAAATTCCTTAGCAGGTGCTATCTAAAGGGGGCCAAGGGGTCCCATAGCACAAAATTTTGTGGGGTCTGAGGTTCCTCTCACAAAGTAGAGGGAGTTCTTACATGCTGTGGGCTTGTGCCTGTGGTCAGCCACTTCAGTTAACTGAGTTGGGAGTCAAATTGTCACTTTGGAGCTATTCACAATTCCTGGTTCCAGGCCCCAAGGCTCACTGGAACAGCTTCTGTGAGGGCACTGTAGGCTGCACTGGGTAGAGGCAGGGAGATCACTCACCCCAAAACAGGTTCCAGGGCTGAAAGCCATTGGCGACCTGCATTGCCAGACCAAGACGGAGGTCAAAGTTTTTAGCTCCTTACCAGAGGGGCCACAGCTGCGGCTTGAATTCTGATTTGCAAGTTTCTTAAACTCCATGAGCTCTGCATGATCCTTCTCATATGTCCTCTTCAGATTCTCCACATACTGCATCATCACTTCTGTCGCTTTTGACATGCGCTTTTCCTGCAAGGAAAGGGCACCTGAGTGTGTGTGTGCATGCGGGGCGGGGGTAGTTGTGGTAAAAATGCCATCACCATACACTGCTCTGAGTCAGGCTCTGGGCTTTGAGAATGGAAAGGAGAGACAGCTCACAATATGAGCTGAAGGTTGGAGGCAGGCACTTGTGACCAGAAAGAAAAATAGCACGGATGCACACTGCAGGAGGTGGAGAGGAGGGCGGAATTTGCTTCTGCTAGATGAGAATGACAGGCAAGGCTCTGTGGAAATAGGATGGAGTTGTGGATGCAGGATGTGGGCAGGCTTTGGCCACACAGACACGGGCAAAAGAGACGAATAGAATCCAGGCCAGGGAACTCCAAGAGAAGTCCTAGGCAGGGCTTGTATAGAGGCGAGGGTTTATCCTCCAAACAGAAATGCTTTGGACAGTGAAAGCGGGCGCCGTTATGTGGGACAAGAGGCACTAACCAGGGCTGTCTGGCAAACCAGGATGGGGCAGAGCAGTCATCCTGCTTATGTGAGAATTGGCAAGCAGTTGGGTTTGTTCACAGGAAGAATGAGTGGAGTAGGGTTAGAGTTGTATAAGATCTTGAACGTTAGGTGAGGAATCCGGACTTACTCTGGAGAAAAAGGGGAACCACTGCGTGTCTTAAAGTAATGGGGTGACATAATCAGGTCACAGGTGGAGACGGGATTGAAGAGAGTCATGGTAGTGAGAGCAGCAGGGAAAGATAGGACCAGCACCTGAACTGGCCCAGTGGAACCAGAGAGGAAGGTGAGGCTGGAGATGCTGAAGGCAGGGTGGGAGCCGTTTGAAGAAGGGTGAAGAAGGAGTGAGGAGCCTAAGAGGCAAGAAACACATTTGAGGGGAGCTGTACAGGTAAGGATGAGTTTTCTTTGCTCAGACCCTTTGAGGGCCCTCTGAGGGCCCAGCTCAAGTCCTGTCTGGCCTTAGAGGGACTTTCCCATTGATTCCCTGGAAGAGGTCCTCACAGTCAAATGGGGCCAAGAACAGCAGCTCAACTTCCTGGGCTGTTGAGTCAGGAGACCTTTCCCCGGAAGGACACAAGGATGGGCTTTTATTTTACAGGCAGTACTTATGGCTGTGCCCTGGGAACATTCTCTCAGCAGGATGTGGGCCATGATAACAGCAACAATAATAATGATGGCACAGTGCTTTGCAAATATTTTAACACCCTGTGCAGACACCGCAATCATCTTCATTTGTACAGCCAAAGGAGCAACTGGTCCGGGGTCACCCAGCAGTGGAGGGGTAGAGCCGGGATAGGAACTTGCAGTGTGGCCCTGTAGTACCTTGCTGGAACTCTGCATTTCAGGGTGTCGAAGGAGCCAAGAGGGGCTGTGATCTGGGCCTAAAGCCCCACCACGTCACTCTCTAGTGCTGTTATGGGTTCTGTATTCTTCCCCAAAATTCTTGGGACTAGAGATGTGTTGCATTTGGGATTATTTTTCAGAGTTTGGAATATTTGCACATACATAGTGAGATATCTTAGGGATAGGACCCAATTCCAAATATGAGGTTCACTTCTGTTCCATATGTACTTACAGAGTGCAGATAACTCTGTACCTCCATCTATATCTAATACTGTTGGTACAACTGAGTTTTAACCAATTCACCACAGGAAGTCAGGTGTGGAAATTTCTGCTTGCCAGCATCATGTACATAGTCAAAAACTGTAGAATATTTAGGGTTTTAGATTTTCAGATTAGGGATGCTCAATCTAGTCCTTTCTTGGACTTTGCATCTTCATTTGGGAGAAAAAAATAGTTACTTTATAAGATTATTGAGTAGATTTAATAAAAAAAAGGCCATTTTCCTAAAGCACTTTTTACCCAGTGCCAGTTCCATGGGAGGTGAATAAAAAAAAACCTGAAGAGGGAGGGGTTCTCTAGCCAGATGCATTTGGGAAATACATGAGTAAAGTTAAATAGGTTTCTTTCTTATGCGACTGCAAAGCAAACATGCTTAGGAATCGCCAAGAAAGGAAGAGAATATACAGTTCCCCATAAACTTAAGTGTTCACACAGTGCCATTGCAAGGAAGCACCTCAGAAGTTTAGTGGGCCACCAAAGATACTCTTAACAATACCTCAATAACCTACGCAGGACTTCTGGCCCAGAGCCAGCTGTCACTGGGTGGTACCTGCAGCTGTCCTGGCTGTGTCACTGTGCTAGTCAACTTGCTGGTGGGAACAGAGCCAGTTAGCAAGGCTGGGGTGGTGGGGCTCACCTGGCGGATGGCCCCAACCACTTCAGCACGGCTGGAGAGGCGGGCAGCCAGGCGATGCAGGACCGCAATGTCCTCCAGCAGCTTCTGGTAGGTCTCACGGTGCTCACAGTGGTTCCAGAGTGATGCTGAAGACTGAGTAGCAAGAAGGAGCATCGCCTAAGGTCCTCACGTAGTGCTATGGATTCAGAGTCTGTGTCCCCCCTAAATGCATGCGCTTCCATCCTAATCCCTAATGTGAGAGTTTCGGGAAGTGGAGAGTCGGGTGTGATTAGGTCATGAAGGCGGGGCTCTAGGAATGGGATTATAAAAGGGGCCCCAGAGAGTTCCCTTGCCCTCCTTCTGCCATGTTGTGCTATAATGAGAAGTTGGCGATCCGCAAGCCTGAAGAGGGAACGCATTAGAACCTGACCATGCTGGCACTTCGCTTTGGGCTTCCAGTCTCCAGAACTGTGAAAAATAAATGTTTGCTGCTTAAGCCCACCCAGTCCATGGCACTTTGTTATAGCAGCCTGAGCTGACTAAGACATAGACCAAGTCTAGCCCCTGGCTTTCATGAGACAAGCCTTGGACCCCATCTTAGCTGAAAGAAGGGGCCTCTGCAGGGCCTGGGCCCCAGCACCTTGTTGGCGTTGGAGGAGCCCAGTGCAGGTACACTGTTCCCGGCTATCCTGAATGAATGAAGAAGTCAGCCCCCTCCTGAGAAGCTCCTCTGGGCCTTGCCCACAGCCCTGGGGTGACCAGGCCTTCAGAATCTCTGCCTCAGCTTCTCCCAGCTCTCTGAGGAAAACCCTGTCAGGCTTTGTCCCGTTTTTCATTCCAGGAGACTCTACTTGGTGACTGAGAGGAGCATGACCCTTGAAGACAGCCCCTCCTGGAAGGACTCCCCAGCCAGGCTCCCTAATTACCGTAAGAGAAGCTTTGAAGTTTTCCAGTTCCTTCTCTGTGTCCTCCTCGGTCAGGTTGCGTTCTCTTTCAGCCTGGTTAATTCTAGATTCCAGGGTATAGCTGTCGTTTCTAAAGGCCAAGGACAGTTGTACAAACACGTTCTGTTGGGAACAAGAATGTGGGAGAGGTGCTAGGAGGAGTTCTTGAAGGGGAAAAGGCAGCCGAAGTGTTTCTTGGTTGGACATTTTACAAGAGCCCCTGGAATCAGGCACCGAGGCTGCCATGTGCAAGTGAAAATCACTCCACAGTAAAGCACACAGGATAGGAGGTAGAAACCCAAAGTCTGTGCGAGGTCCTTCCTGAGAACTGAAGGCCAAGTGCATTTTACCAAAACGCAGTAAGAGAATTATGTTCTGCTTTCCCCAAATTTCAGGAAAATCACATCCTATATTTGTATTAAAACCCAGGCAAGTGGAGTTGATTGTGCAAGCTGTTTGGATTAATGATGGGATTTTATTGAATGGGGGATTTTGGAGATATCGCATGAAACCTTTGTCTTTGAATAAACCCCATCTGACTTAGTTAAGCCTTGTTGACTTCAAGAGAACTTCAACCAGCAACTAGCCTATATATTTTAAATCCTATATCCATAGCAGCTTTAAGTAGCTAATAGGGGATTCAATAAGGCCAAGTATAATTAGGATACACTTTCTGGAATAAGTATTCCATAGAGCAAATGTAGTGTGTCATTCATGAATGAATTTTTGAAAGGTATTGATCAAACATGGAATTTCCAGAATCATAGGAAACTACTGGAGAGGAGAAATAGACAGATGGACTCCATGCAGGAAGGAAAGAAGGAAGTGTCTTCAGTTATGCAGCCTTTATCTGCTGTGCCTGAGTCCAGTGGTAGCAGATTTATACCCTGAGGTCACTCTCTCTGCCTGAGCTACTGAAGTCCACATAACATGGCCCAGTGTGGACAGACATCTCCAGACAGAGGACTGAAGGCACTGAACAGATCCCACAATAACGATGATACCAATATTGAAAATTGCTTCTCCTTGTTAACTGTGCTACTTCCTAGCACGGCTATGGATTTTACAAACCTTACCTCATTTAATCCCACTACAACCTCTTGGGGTGGGAACTACTGTATCTATTTTATGGGTGAATAAAATGAGGCCAGAGAAGTCATTCAAAATGACAGGGAATAGCAGAGCCGGAGTTACTTTTGGACTCTCTGACTCCAAAGCCTGTTTTATTTCCATCATGCTGAGAGTTTCTTGAGTCAATTTATAGCTGAAGAGAATCTGGCCATTAAACCACCCACAGCCCACGTTCACAAATGTCAAAATGGGCTTAGAGCTGACAGTCCAGTGATGGAGAGGCTCCATCTTGCCCAGCGTCACTCAAGTCTACGAATAATGCCTAATGCTTAGTTCCCTATACCGGGTCATCTCCTTAACAGAGGGAGTCTCAATTCAGTTCAAACACTTGGGTCCAAATCTTGGTTTTTTGATAAGTAGTGGATCTGGGACTTTCAGTAGGTTATTTGACCATTCAGTTGCTCCTTTGTTTTAATGCCTGTGCTTCCTGCTTTTTCAGAGCTGGCAGGAGGGCCAGCTGAATGGAGCCACACAAGCATGTTAGGAACTACACGTATACTGTCTGGTGCACAGTTATTGCTGTATCTGTGGTAGACATTGCATATTGTCCATCTTTTTTGGATAATGACCACATCATTTTTCACTGTCTTGTCACTGATAAGTTCTGTTTGTCTGTCAACATCTTCGCCAGAATGAAACCAAGTTCCTCGCAGCCCACTGGGATAAGGAAGCCTCAAAGGCACTAATGGTCACATCAGGGGAGACTGAGCTATTGGCAACCCAGCTATCAAGTGAGCTAGATTTCTGTAGCTGAAACCTCCAGAAGGCAAACACCTTTGCTGTCTCAACCAGGACTGAAACTTGAAATCTTACCATCTCTTAAATTTTTTGAAATGCATTCAATATAGTTCTGTAGCCTTCCAGCTGAGTTTGTACATCTAACTCGTACATTTAAAGAACACATATAATCCTTGAAGGAGTATGGAATTTCCGGCTACTCTCTCATATTTGACCAAACTTGAAAAATCCTATGTTAACTGAGTAGAAGTGGGAATCTCAGTGGTTCAGTAGGGCTGGGTATGAACGTTCATAGCACACCACAGTCATTTTTGTTCTCATCTTTGTGTAAAGATGTCAGGTCCAGAGGCTGGAGGAAGGAATGTTTTGAGAAGCCCAGCCAAGCAGACACTAAATTTCATAAGCACTCAAGTCACTTACCTCAACTTCCTTTTCAGTGAGTGGAGGTGCACTGCGGAAGAGAAAAAAAATGCACAAATGAACATCACCCAGCCTGTTAAATAAACTAAGAGAAGGCGGAGTGATCAGCAGACCACATGTTTCCAAGACTGGAGGTGAGATGGAAACCCTGGAGCGTGTCCTGTCATCTGTGAGATACTGACCCTTACAGAGGCAGCACGGTGGAAAATACCGGGTCCCGGGGTCAGTCCTCCAGCAGTGTCACTGCTAACTCTGACTTTAGAGAAGCTATGTAATCTAAGTCCCAGCTTGATTGTCCGTACAATGGGAATTATACCATCTACCTTGTAGAAATCTTACAAGGAATGTATGTACACATATATGAGGTATGATTGAAATCACAAATGTTTAAATAAAAATTATTACATTAAATACCACATTGCCATTAATCTCCCTCAAAATACCCCCCTCACTTTAAACACTCTGCCCCATTATTCTTGCCACTTTCTGAACCAATTCTAAAAGTCCTCTATGATGCCTTAATGAGGTGTGATTTAAAAAGGTACCACGAATACTGCTGCTGAGTGCCATCCAATGGAAACACAGGCTCCTAAGAGTGTTATGGTGCGTCTTCATCCGCCTTATTTACCAGATCTGGCACCATGTGACTTTTGACTGTAACCCAAAGTCAAAATGACTACGAAAGTTAAGTGTTGTAAATTGACTCAGGACGTTGAGGGAGCTACAGCAGAGTGACTAACGATACAAAAGAGGACTTCCAGGGCCAGGCTTTTAGAACAGTGGTTCTGTCTCCTGCCTCACAGGGGCAAGGTCACGAGTTCTATCCTCGGTACCAAAAAAATAAAACAATAAAATAAACCCACAAAAAGAGGCCTTCCAGAAAATGGCAAGAAAGATAGGGCATGTTTGAAATGAGAGGAAGTGTAGTGAGGGAGATTAATGACAAGTCTTTTACTGTAATAAATTTTATTTATTTAAACATTCACTGTATTTTTACCAAACCTCACATATATGAATATGCATATATATATAAATAAAATAAGTCTTCCATATCTGTGAATTCCAGTTTCCTGAGTTCAACTAATGGCAAGTTGAAAACATTAAAATAATCTGTGTTTACAAAGGACATGCACAGACTTTCGTGGGGGTAATATTCTCTAAACAATACAGTGGGACTCCTATTTATATTTCATTAGGTATTATAAGTCATCTAGAGAAGATTTAATACATGGGAAGTTGTGTGTAGGTTATATGCAAATACGATGCCATTTTACACAAGGAACTTAAGCATTTGCAGATTTTAGCATACAGAGTGGGGTAGGTCCTGGAACGGATTCCTCCTGAATACTGAGGGACAAATGTATATGGCATCTACATTCAGCAGCCACTTGGGGGACATTGGCTAGTATTGTTATTATTTACTCACAGGGGTTGTGAGGAATTAATAAGAAAATGGTATGCATTTGTAATTTACAAACTCTTAACATCTGAGTTGCCATTATAGGCTTTCTAGGTTTTATAGGTTATGTCTGTGTCTAGATGTCCCCCCAAAGACTTATGCAGTCTTAGATGAGGCTTTTTTTCAGAGGTGGCTGAATCTAGAGTGTGTGATTGATTCATGGTATGTGCTAGCCACAAAGAGCACTAGGTTAAGGGTGTGAGTGCCACCGCCCTGAGTAGTCTGAATAAGGTAAAGGGGGCAGGAAGAAGCTGTTGAGGCCTCTTGTTGCTGTGCTACCTTATGTCCTTGATGAACTGTTTTCTGCCATGTGCTACCCTGCTTTGGAGCCGGCCAACTATGGACTGAAACTTCTGCAAACTGTGAGCTCATAAACCTTTTCTGCCTTGACTTGTGGGTGTCGGATATTTTGTCTCGGCAATGAAAAAAGTAACGAAGACACTGGGGCTCTGTAGGTCTGCAAAGGGAGACCTTCCCCTACTCGGGGGTTGTGATAAAGGTCTGTGTGGGCCAGGGAATAAAAAATAGAGTGGGCTGGAACTCTTTTCCACAGTGAGACCTCTGATGGTTGGAATCAGACTGGCAAAAGAGTCCCACTGGCACTGAGGTGAACTTTTGAGGGGCTCTTTATTGTGTACAGTCCCCATAGCTGTCCCCAGAAAGCAGTCCCTTCATCTGCACACTCACTTAGGGTGGCTGCCACCACCACTACTCTTGCTAGTAACTAGCGCTGGCCCCAGATAATGTAAATAGCACACAGGCCCTTTCCTGTGCTGGGTGGGAAGGCTGGGAGGGGTCCGATCAGCGTCACAGAGCATACCATCAACAAGCTTCTCAGGAAACACAGCTTCCTCCCTTTTACGGGTGCAGAGGGACCTCGAGAGCAAAGGTGGGGTCAGCCAGCTTTGTAAGGGGCTGGTTCTCACCCTTGACAAGGGACTGTGAGAGCCTTCCTGTCAGGATGAGGCAACAAGACCCCATGGCTACGAAGTCAGCAGGGAACAGAACATGGGATAAACAGTCACAAAGATGTTCACTGCTTACAGTTCCTGTCACAGCCACACCCAGAGGGCCTTTCCTCTGAGGGTCCACATACTCTTTACTGTCACCTAGAACACACACATACTGTCTCAATGGTTTATCAAACCCACTGAGTGTGCCTCTGGTTCCTGGGTTTCTTTGGATGTTACATGAAATTTACATATTTTCATAATTAACCAAATTTATTTTTCTACTTTGATGACTCACATCCTACTCTTTTTGCTGTAGAACACACCCAGCTCTTATCTCTTATGTCGAAAACTATGAGGGCTCAGACAGGTGTGATTTAGGCAAAGAATCCATGTAACTGGCCAGTTCTGATGCAGAGCTATGCCTTGGAAACTGGCGTAGGCAGCCAGGATCCAGGACTGTGGGCCTCCAAAAGGATAAGAATATCTTTCCATGTGGCTGCTTATATATCTTCTTTGAAGGAATGACTATTTAAATTTTTTGTCCATTTTGAGCAATTGGCTGTCTTTTTATTGAGCTATAAGGATTCTTTATATGTTCTAGAAACATATCAAATAAATACTTTATAAAGTATTTATAATTTAT